ATTTCACCAGGAAAAACAGTCCCTCTACTGACCTCATTCAGTTTTACAAAGTTTGAAGGTTGGAATATAAAGATACCAACCTACTTGTGCCTATGGTAAATGTGACTTCAACAACTCAAAACCAAAGCAAGCAAACAAACAAAGCCCAAAGACCCCCTTATAAATAAAACAAAAAAGCTGAATGTGTTGATTATGAGATAGGCAAAAAATACCAAAACCAAAATGGAAAACATGTGAAGTCTGAAATGGAGTGGATGGCAGGGCAAGCTGACCTGCTTGGAGCCTGTTCCAAGAAATGAAAACACTTCCTTGTGCCAAGCATGCTCTGTGTGTGAGCTGAGTTTGCTCAGCCTCAAGCTGATGACAGCTTTTGCTGCTTTTGACAAAGCAAATAATGCAAGAGGGAAGATGATTCTCTATTAGGAGAAATTATTCTTCTCTTTCTTCTTTTCCTTCCAACTGGGCTATGAGGTCCCTGCCTGGTATCAGAGTTCATTCACAAACTGGGCAAGGTTAGACAAGTCATTTCACTACAACTGTGATGTCCAAGGGTTCAATGAAAGACTGTTTTCTGCTGTGTGGTGATTGTTTGCTGAGGATAAAACTGTATGTTTAGTGGGGGATTTGGCCCACCCAGGTGAGATTAGCTATGCTTCGGTGCTCCCAGCAGCTGACAAGGAGGCAACGGTGGGAGAATATGAAACATGCTGTTGCCTAAAAGCAGAAGGGTGTTGAAAGCCTTGCAGGCAAACTTCTGTCTGCAGTGCTCTTGGTTTTGTCTGCATGGTCTGAGGCAGGTAGACCTGGGCTTGCTCTGTGTGTCCTCCATAAGCTGGGCAGCATGGTGCTGAGGTCTCTCATCACAGCTGATAGCATGGGCAAAGGCAATGCTGTGTAGAAATGCTCTAGAAGTGGATGTGGGGGGGATGAGGGAGATGTGGCTGAGGATGCCCTCTTGGCTCATGGGCTGTGCGGAGAATGCAATAGGTGTGTGGGACCATCCATCCAGGTACATCCCTCCCTTCAGTGACTGCTGCCAGTCCCATCTGCTCCGGCCTCCGCTCCAGGGCTCAAGCCAAAGTTCCTACCCCATTCAATTGCTCCAATTAGTGCTGTGGTTTGTTTTTCTTTATTAAGAAGGTTGTTTGAGACCTACCTGGTTTTGAGTCCAGCCCCCTTTAATTTGTCCCTACCATCATTTCAGGTTAACTGAGTTTCCTGCCCAGCAGCTCCTTCAGCAAATTAGAGAGAATCAGGGAGATGCTGTCAATAAGCTTTCCACAGTATAGATTTTGTCCAGTGGAGCCTGAATAAATTGGGTCATGCTGCCATATGTAATCCATGCACTTGAGGTTTGACCTAGCTCCTGTGAAAACTACCGGGCAGGGACGTGTCTGGAAGCTGGACTGGAGCTATGGCTGAGGCAGCTGGATTTTGAAAGAGCAGGGGTGTGGAGCTGTGCCCTTCATTTCTGTGGACCAGTTTCATTTGTACAGGAAGATGGATGTCGTCCTGTGGAAGTTTTTGTTTCTGCTGCACTGTGTCTCGAACAAAGTTGCCAAGGTATGTTGGGCCTGGGGTAGGCAGGTATTTTGTGATTAGATGTTGAAATCAAATCAGTTTAATCATTGTACAAGTTCAGAAGAAAATGCATTTATTTAACCTGAAACTTCATTGCAATGGCTGTGAATAAGTTTGTCATCTTCTGCATGACATTGGCCTAAGGTCTGAGAATTTCCCCAGATGACTTCCCATGGCCCTGGACATACAAAGTCATCTGTTTTGGAGGAGCCAGGATTATTCTGCTTACCTCTTTTGGGTAGTTGGATGTTAACTCTGCAAGTGGTGGAGATGGGCCAATGTGGCTACTGCCGTATCACAATTCATACTTGCAGCACAGAAAAGAAGATTAGTGAGCTAACAGGGGAGACTCCTCTTTTGAAAAGAGGCTTTAAATGATGTCAAGAACCACCACAATAATATGGTTTTTACATAAATAATAATTAATCACATGTAAATCAGGCTTTCCCCCACCCCTTCCATTAGTACTGTCTTTGCTAAGCTCTCTGTCTTGTTTCTGTCCGCTCACTTTGACTAGTTGAATGGCAGCAGACATCATTTGCAATGCTAACGTCAGATACGGGTCAAAATGGACAAGGAAAACACAACCCTGGGTTTTATCAATGCAATAACAACCAATTCTGTCTAGAGATGGCAGTGTACCGGGGTTTAACCTCTTCACTGCCACAGAGCAAGAACCACCAGGGATTTACTTTTCTGGTCTCCTCTTCTGCTATTTCTAACTTATTTCAGCCCTTTGCTTCTCCTGGCCACTCTTTTTTTTCCTCCTCTCTCTTCTTCCTGGTGTTTACTAGAGCATCTGGTATTGTTTATCTCCCAAGACACAGGAGACTGCTGTTTTCATAGATATGTAACTAGAGTAAAAGCTTTGATCTTTGTTGATGTTGGACTTTTGGATTAAAAAAGGAGTCATAATAGTGGAAAAAATAAGATGAAATAATATTTCAGCATAGTACTCTTTTGAGACAGCATCAACAGAATCCTGCACAGGAAAAGTTGCAATAACAGCGTCTCCTTCACGAGGGATGCTTCACTTACAGGGAGAGCAGGGCAGGGAGTGAGGAGACCATCTCGCTGAGGTGGGACAGGTTAGAAGCTGAGAGCGTAGCATGTCCTCATGGGGATTTCTGCAGCAGCAGCAGTTTGAGCAGTCCCAGAAATACCAACAAGATGTGAGAAACCTGTTTCTATCTCTGCTTGCTTCCAGTGCTGCCTTCCAGGAAGGGCACAGAAGGAGCTGGTCTGACCTTCAGCAGTGTCAAGATTACATACAACCTGGGTTTTGAAGCCTCTACAGAGTAAAGACTGTCCTTGGAAGTCAGAAGAGGAGATAGTGTTCTGAATTTGGTCTCTTGCTCTAGAGAAGTACATGGGTTTTCTACAGCAGCTTCAAAGATGCTGAGACTGGGTTAATTAGAAGTTGTCAAGATACAGCAAGAAGAGGTGCTGTCATTGCAGAGATGTAGAAAGCATTGCAGAAATCTGGTAGCAAAAGGCAGGCAGGTGTCTGCTATCTGCAGAAGTGAATGCAGGCCTACAATGCTCACAGTAAAGCTCTTGTTGCCTTCCCTGGGGACTAGGCACTGTCCCAAGCCTGCAGCCAAGTCAGCTATGCTGTAAGCAGGCGTGCAAAATCCGGATGGCTGCTGGTTTCTTAGCAAGGATATATTCAGTTGCTAATATTGTAAACAGTTTCTGGTAATTTTTTACAGCAATAGCATTTTACGTAATTCTGGGATTTTAAGCTAAATGCCTTATTTTGGGTGCTGTGTATTCCAGTTTCCACCCCTGCTCTCCTGCTAGGTAAGGTGTAAACCTGACAGAAACCTCTCCAAACTTCTCAGGAGGGAATGTTTTATGGAACCCCTCCCTTTGGGAAGGCAGTGAGCTGTCAAAAAGGAGCTCAGCCTGTAACTTTAAGTCTGCAATGAACCAGGATAATAAATTATGTAATATTAACTCAGGATAGGTCTGTGGCTGCCTGTCACAGTGCAGGACATCAAGGCAGAGGCACACAGTCGCTCTCTCCTAACCTTTGTACCTCCTCCCACTAACCAGGGAACTGGCTCTGGAAAAGGCCTGCCCTGTGATGTCCTGCAAACCCAAGGGTAAAATATTAATAAGCCAAAGAGGAGCTGAGAGGTTTCAATGGGGCTCCATCGCAGTGCAGCCATTGGGGAGAGCGCTGCTGGCCTCGGCACAAGGTGATGGCAAACAGGGCTCTGCATGGAATATCTCGCCCAACCTTTTTATGTTTGCATGCAAAAAATGCAGATTCAGCAGCACCAAAACGGTTTGTGCACACATGCCAAACTTGTCATTTATAAAAACTCAAAAAAGCTCTGACAAATGCTGAAGCTGTTAGTTTTGACACTTCTGACATGAAACACTTTGATTTCTCATTTTGAAACTATGTGTTCAAAATGTCCTTTAATTTTATTTTCAAGCAAATGGGGGGGTGTGGGGTGTGTGTGTGTGTGGGGTGCGTGTCTTCTTTTCTTATTCCCTCCCAAAAAAAAATCAAAATTGAAATGAAATCTTCATCTTGTTGTTGGATTTTAGGTTTCACCAGGTTGTTTTACTTAGATGTTTGTGTTTGGCTTTGAGTCACTTCTTTCTTTCCTCCCCCAAATTTGGCAGTTGGTTTATCAAGAGCCGCAGTGAACATCAGCCCCTCTGAAGGGGCACAGCTGGCACAGTACAGTGTTTTTTCATGGCTGTCAGTTGCAAAACCAAGGAGTGTTGCTTGTGCTTTGCAGGAGATTGAGTTCATTTTCTATCTGGCTGGGATAAATAATAAACAGGGGTTTTTGCTTTTGTTTTGCCGTGGAGGATTTCCTTAACGTTATCTGTTTAAACATTCCCTTACGTTTTAGTAATGCGAATAATGATTATTCCTGTGCTTCTGAGCTCTCCCTCTTGGCTCGGGAGCCGGAGGTTCGGGAGGCACCTGGCAGTGTTGACAGAGCACTGAACTTGAACGCCTCTCACTGTGACAGGGCAAGCCCAAATATTTTGGGAAGAGTCCTTGTTATGTTACGACAGGGATTGGTAGCACTGATGCTGGGGATGGGGTTTGCTTCAGCACTGGGCTGATTACTGCTGTATTATTGGAGGAACAGCATGAACTTTGGCAGGCGGGCTGCTGTGAGGCAGAAAGATTGGACTTGGGCATTTCTTATTTGTAGGATGGGCTGAAGATCTTCCAAAAGATGCTGTGTCTTGAAAGAGGCCAAGAATAGGAGGCCCAGAAAGATGTTTTTCTATGGGTGAGGAAGTGGAAAAATAAAGCTCTTTTGCAAGAGTACAAATGTTAAGTGTAGTCCCTATCTGTGGACAAATATCTGGGGAAGAGCTTGTATTAAAATACCTTTTAAATCATATTTTCCATCCCTAAAGGCATTGTTTGCTTCCCACAGCGTACACCTTCCATCTTCTACTGGCTCCCTTCTCCAGCCCATGTCCTCTCCTGAAGACAAGCTGCATCTTGGTAGTGCTTTGTGTATCTTCAGCACTGGACCAGTGTCCAGCTTGTGGTGTTTAACTGGTCACAGACATTCTTGTGGTGTTTGCCAATTCACATACAGCATGTAATTGTATTCAGGACGCAGTAGGAATTAAATGACATCAATTCCCATGAATATTCATTTAAAAATCTCTACCAAATTCAGGCAGATTAATAGCCCAATGCAAATACAATGGCTATTCATTGCCCCCACAGGAAAAGGAAATATGTATCGACTGGCAGCTAGGGACAAATGCTACAGAAAATAGGGAAATCTGCTACAGAAAAGTTACCTCTGTGTGTCTTTTGATACAGAGGTGGTTGGAGGGAAGCCTAGAGGCATAAAGATTAGTGTGGGTATGGACATGGGGGCCCTTCCTATTCACTGAGGAACCTGAAAGAGTCTGGGGTGAAATTTAAACTCATGTCTCTGCACTACCAATGTAAAATCAAAGCAACTCTGGCTGCAGTGGAGCTTCACTGGAGTCTCAACAGAGCCAAGTGCAGTTTATTTTGTGTCTGATCCTGCTGCCCTGTGCATGAAGCCAGCCTCTGGCCTGTTCTCCCTGGATCAAACTGCCGGGGCAGAACAACAACTTGTCTTCCTTGTGAGCAGCAGTGAGCCTGGCACTGGCCCTTGGGGTGGCCAAAGGGCAGCCCTGTCCTACAGGTACCACATGCTTCCTCTCCACTGCTCCAGCTCATCTTTGGGCCAGGACATGGCTTCCACTGTGACCAGGCAAAGCAAGAAAGTATAATAACAAAACAGATGAAGAGTGCGAGTGCATTTGCAAAGTAAGCATCAAAGACTGGGATGCTGAAAAAACCTCCCAACTTTTATAGAGACAATACAAAGCAACATTTAAGTTAAAAAATTATCTGTGTCTGGTTACAGCCCTTATCTTGGAGGACTTATTTATGCATTTCCTTTAGTCAGACAAGCCAGCTTGAGTCCTTAGTATTACTTTTATCTCGTTATGGGATTTCCCCAATTGGAGCGTGGATCCTGCTTCCACTAAAGTTGGTGGCAAGCGTTGCCAACAGCAGTGAGCTCAGCCTCTAAGCTGGAGGTTTATGCCTTTCAAAATAACCCCTCACCAAGTCAACCCTTCCCACCCTTGAAGTTACCTGAGCAAAAGAAATGTCTGATGTGATTCACCTTGTGTGATGTGCAGAGAGCTTCTGCCTTTCTGAGGGCTGTCTGCACCAGACTGCTTGACTCCCCACGCAAGGAGAGGGAATGTGGAGAACAGCAACTAGTAACTTCCTCAAATGGGTTTTGTCTTGAGCTACAGTACAAGAGTATTCTCAGGTTCTCCTCTCCTGAGCACTGTGAGAGCATCTGGCTTATTTAAAATAAAGTCAGAAAATCATTTCTCTTTAGTACGTCCACGAACTTTCTGTGACAGTACACAGTATCTCAACTTTTCATGCCTGATGTTAAAGGTAACAGCTGAGGACCCCCAAGGGGTTGGTTTGCACCTATGCAGGAGTCTGCAGTGGCCCAGGCCTATCCATGCAGCTTGGTGATGCGCTCTCCAAAGCCTCATAATCCAATGACTAAAGTGGAAAGGACTCTGAGGCCTGGCTCCTGGGACATTGGAGGTGGGGCATTACAGGAGCTTGGAAAACATTCTGCCTTTAAAACAAGTAGCACCTATAATTATGGAGGCGTCATCACCTTCATCGCTTTTTTTTTTTAGCTAACAAGCTGCACTTGTAGCCTGTTTACACCCTTGCCAACATGTGCCAAGCATTTGCTCTTGGGATAGGTTCTGCTGGTGGTGGGAATATCAAGCATCTTTCTCCAGGCACTTGTAAACCAATACACCAGTAAACAGCTCGAGTACAATTAGCAGCTACATTGGCAGAGGGAAGGGAGAAGTCCCACTGCTGGTACTGTCTGTGGAATTAATCATGTTTTACAGAGCTCATGTACTGGTTTAGATTTGCAAAGTTAAAAACAGGAGGCAAGGAAGTTTCCAATAAACATTTATCCCAGGGTGAAATGTAAAAGAAGTATCTTTTAGGAGAGGAACATTTAAGGGGGGATGTTTTTTAAGAAGGCTCTTTTAATAGGTTTATCTCCTATTTCTTCCTACTGAAGAAGTGGATGAACCATAAAATCGAAACAACGGAAGCTTAAGGTGATGGTGCAGTTTAATTTTTAAAGCTGGGGATCCCTGTACACCCCCCCCCCCCAGTCCCACAAATCCCATGTTTTCCAGGGTTACTTCAGTTGGGAGAACTGGGAGGGGGCTGAAGGGAGCTCATCGGGGAGCTCCCGAAGCACGGCTCCACGATCGGCTTCGCAAATATTTGCAGCGATTTTCCCCCTCTTAATTATTTAAAATACAATGAATTAGGCATAAGTGCCTCGCCATTACTGTAATTCCAGGTGTTAATTGCTACCGGGGCAGTCCCCGCGCCGATGCGCAGCCTCTGCCGACAGGTGGCGCCGCAACCCCGGCCCTGCGCTCCAAGCTGCCCGCGGGGCGGCTGGACCGGGACCGGGACGCACGGCAACAGGGATGGGCCGGGACCGGCTAACGGAGGGAAACGGGAATGGGTCGGGCTGAGACCGGAGAACTCGGCGGGGGATGGCACAGGGGAAGGGCCGCGCCGTGGCTGCCCCCGCGGTAGCGGTTCGCTCGCTGCCTGGTATCGCTTCAAGCGGTGTTCAAACCCCCTCTGGCTCGGGAACTTTGAGTCGGTCCTGCGGGAAACCGAACGCGATCGCCCCAAAAAATAAACACAAAGGAAGGGGAATCCGGGCTCTCGCCGGTCCCCGCGTTCGGAAGAAAAGAGTTTTACCCCGAACAAAGTCGCCCGCTGCCTCCTGCCCTGCGGCGCCCCGGCCACCGCCGGGCTCCATCCCCGCGGAGCGCGGGCCTTCCCCAGCCCCGCCAGAGATCCCTGCCTGGCTGCACTGCGACAGCGGACCACGGCACCGGCAAGGGCAGGGTGCATCCCGGCGGGGCCCGCTCCTCCCGCGCAGCCTCCGCGCCGTCCGGCCCCGCGGCCGCCGGTTGCTCCTTACCCTGGCCGAGCCCATCGGTGGCTTTAAACTTTTCTGTGCCGAGTACCGGGGCCGCTCGGGTGCTCCAGCCCCGGCTCTCGTCCCATCCCTGCCTCCCCCCTGCGGGCGCTACGCTGACCCCTCCGCGGGAGTCCCTACTGCGCGGCCGAGACCGCAGCCGCTCCGCGCACCCCCCCGCCATGAGGACCCACGGCCGGGACAGCCCCGCGGAGCGACACCTCGGGCGGGTCACTCCCGCTCAGCGGCCGGTGCGCGCCGCTGCGCACCCGCGCAGTGTTTCAAAGCAGTGTTTGCGCCAACAGCGGCGTGCGCTACGGGAGGGGTGCGGGGGGTGGAAAAGCTGACAGCGCCCGCGTCTCGTCTCCGCGCAGGTAAGGCGGGCTCCACGGTTCACCCGCGGAAGGCCCTCCTTGGTCTCCCTCATCCCCCCGCACCGCGGGCCTGACACCCGCTTCCTCGGCACGCCTGGACCGCGGAAAAGTTACTCGGGGTGCGCGGCGCTGCCCTCCGCTCCCGGGGCGGCCCCATCCCGCTTGCCCCCTCGCTGAACTCTTCCCGGCGGCGCGCAGCACCGCGCAGCACGCTCCGCGGCCACTTTCTCTTCCCCGCGGCGCGGAGCTGCCCCGCCTCCCGCGACCCGCCCCCCCGCATCCCCCCTTTCCCGAGGCCGGCTTCCGCGCAGCTCCGCACCGGCGGGGCTCCCCCCCGCGGCCCTGCGCACCCCCCCCCGCCCCGCTTTGATGATTTGATTTATTTTTGATGGTTCTCTCCCCTGCACCCAGCCTTGTTTACCCAGCAGGTGGATGTGACGTCAGAGACTGACAACAGCAAAAAATAACAACATCTCCCTCCGCGGGGGTGTCGCGGCCGCCCCCCGGCCCTCCCTCCGCGGGCGGCGGCGCGGGGCTGCGCGGGGCGGGGAGGGGGGGGCGCGGGGCGGTGCGGGGCGGGGGCGCGGCGGGGCGGCGTGCGGGGCCCCGCGGGCGCGGCGCCGAGCGGAGGGCTCTATTGTTATTTACCGAGCGGCGGAGCACGCCGCCGCGCCGCCCGGGCTTCGGCGTGCCGGAGGGACGGGAGGGAGGGACGGGACGGAGAGGCAAAGCCCCGCGCCGGGGCCGCGCCGTGCTGGGCAGCGGCAGGCCGAGTCCTGCGGGTGAGTCCGGCGCCCCCCGACACTTTCCCCGCTCCTCCGGGGCTGTTGCACTTTTCCCCCCCGCCGGCCCCACGTGCCCGGCCACCCCCCCTTTACCTTCCTCCCCCTCTTCACCCCCCCCGACCGCCGGCAGCGCGGTACCTGGGGGCGGGGGGGGGGCAGCGGCTGTGCGCGGGTGCGGAACCCCCTCCCCGGGCTGCGGAGCCGCTACCCGCCCACTTTGGAAACTTCCCCCCCCCCAACCCCCGCCCCGCGCACCCTCCGCGGACTGTGGGATGCGGCGTCTCCCGCCCTCTCCTCGCCTTCCTCGTGCTTTCCGCCGGGTCCCCCCGCGCCGCCGCGCAAGGGGCGCGCACGCCCCAACTTCAGCACTCGGGGCAAGAAGTTGTGGCGGGGCCGCGCCCCCCTCCCCCCCTCCCCCTCCCCCCCCCCCCCCCCCCCGGGCCCGGTCGCCCCTCTCCCCTCAGCTCCGGGCACCTGTTGCCGCTTTCCACCCGCGCAGTCCTTCCGCAGCTGCGGAGCTCCGCGCATCCCCCCCACCCCTGGGTCCCTCTGCGCCCATCCCCCTCCCCTTTTTTTTTTTTTTTTTTTTTTTGAGACGAAGTGTTTTAATAAACATCCGCATCTCCCCAGCCCGGCGCAACTTCTCGCTGCGCGGGTGCGGACCGCGCATTCCTCACGTGTTCGTTCCTCCGTGTGTGTGTGTGTGTGTGTCTGTCTCCCCGTCCCCGCGCAGACCCGCGGTGCGGAGTCTCGGGACGGAGCCCCGTGGCTCGCTGCCCGCCGCGGAGCCGCCGGTGCCCGGTAAGTAGGGCCGCGCCGCGCTGCGCCCCTCGCACCTGCCGCTCCGCGCCGCTCCGCGCAGCCCAGCCCGCCTCCCCGGTTGCGCGCTGCAGGCGGCGTCCGAGCGGCGTGTCCGCGCTTCCCGCCTCCGTCCCCGCCCCGCCGGTGCTCTGTCTTTTGGGTTTTTTTTATTCCCTGAAAAAAAGCCGGTGGCGGCTGCGCGGGCAGCGCTGCGCGGGGCGCATCATCCACACACCCCCCTTTCCCCCGCGCAACTCCTAACGATCCGGCGGCCCCGGCGCGGACAGCATCGCCGGGCTGGCTGCGGAGCGAGCCTGCCTCCTTCCACTTCGCTGTAATGATTTTAATTGCGTGGGTTTGCTTTGAGTGAACTAAACCGAGTGAGATTACGGCTTTATTTTTATTCTTTTTCCCCCTTCCCTCCCCCTTCCCCGATCTCCCCCCAAGGCTGGCGGCAGCAGCGCTCAGACCTTCCGTAGCCACCCGAGGTATCTGCGAGCCGCTTTTCTAGAGAAGCTGGAGCCCAACTTCTGTGCTCAGAAGTTTTAAGGTTTCATTTTTAGTAACTGTTCTTTGAGTGAGTAATCTATGTGTACCGCTCGCAGCGTGTCTGCCCAACGCAGGCTGCTGATTTCTGGGGTGCTGGATGGTTATAAATATTAAAGCAATTCCCTAAACTGGATTTCCTTTCCATATAGTTTTTCAAAACCTGGGTTTTACCTGCTCTGACCAAACGCTGCTGTCACTAATGACAGCTTCTTAATTAGACAAAAGTTTCAGGAATGTCGTCGAAGAAACTTGTGCTGTTCATCCATGGTTTGCTTTAATGCTGCAGCCAAGGGAGAAATAGGCATTTCACTCGATCGAGTAGTATTTTTACAGCTTCTGTTACTGCTGAGCAGCTCCTGCTTCTTGTAAGTTTGAGAGAGCCTGAAATAATTTGAGTTCTCAGAGAAGCGAGTGTAGGCAAGGAGGCACCGTGCATCTCCACAGCCAGATTTGGGGGAAGATGGGGAAATCGGGGCTGCTGGTTTCAATTTATCCTTTTTTTTTTCCCCCTCTGCACATTTTATTTGAACTATCTCCCAGGCATGTTGAATGGACCAGGGCGCTGGGGGAGGAAGCTCTTCACTAGTTACCATTCAAAAGGTGTCGGCTAAAATCTCATTGCAAGAAGGTATTGTAGCTTTAACATCTTGCATTGGCAGCATTCTTCCCCCTTAGTCTTTGGATTAGTCATTGTATGAGAGACAGGAAAAAAAAAAAAAGAGATTTTTTTTTTTTCCTCTGGAAAAAGTAAAGTAAACAGCCTCCAACAAGTGAACCTTGACAACCCAGATTAAGGAAGGCAGGAGAGATCAAACAAAGCTGCTGCTGGGCTGTTGTCAGGAGCTGCCTCACTGAAAGCTCTGGACTATTCGATCAGGCAGCAAGGCTATATGTTCACTTATGCAGAAATGGACCATTACAAATGCTGATCTTTGTTGTGAAACCAAAGGATAACTTGGAGAAAATAACTGCAATCTCAAATGAGGCTTTTCTGGTGCTCCTGGTTTTGACGGCAAACTTCAGGGTTTTTTTTTTGTGTATGGGCTGGGTTTTGAGTTTGGCTTTTTTCTGACTCTTTATTTGAAGGGACAGTGGTTTGGAGCACACTGTATCCACTTTCAGAGAGACTTAGGTTTGATTTTATTTATGCTCCTGGAGCTGCAGGGAAGGCGGCGTTTCAGTAGTGTAATGTTGAAAACCGTAAGAGTTCTGTGGAATTCAGCTTTTATTTCTGGATCTCTGAATTGTAAGGAAACATGGATTATATTTTTTTTTTCCCCTCTGTGTGTAAGTGCTGTGCTGATGTATAATAGAGGAGTTCGGTGGTGATTAAGCATCGTGTGTTGTGTGGCTGCGTTCCTGAAGTTTAGAAAACTTGTAGTATCTTTACTTCAAACATATCACTAACTGGTCAGGATGGCACCTTGGTTTTGATACGAGAGGGTTTTTGCAGAACTGTGTGTAACTTCTCTTCATGGCTATGTGAGAGAGACTTTGTTACTGTGGAGGG